GAGTGACTCTCAAATGTGGTGATGGTGACTAAAGCCAATGAAAATTGGAGTCTCTGCGTTGACTTCACTGAGCTCAACAAGGCATGCCCAAAAGACAGCTTACCCACTGCCATGAATTAACCTCCTCATCGACGCCACCGCGGGACATGAATTGCTCGCCTTCTTGGATGCATACTTTGGGGTATAACCAGATTAGCATGCATCCCCCAAACCAGGAGAAAAACGTCATTTATCACTCCAAAAAGGACCTATTGTTATAGGGTCATGCCCTTCGGGCTAAAGAACATAGGAGCAACCTATCAATGTCTGGTGAACAAAATGTTCCAATCTCTGATCGAGCGAACAATGAAGGTATATGTGGACTACATGTTGGTGAAAAGCCTCGTTGCAGCAAACCACATTGACCACCTTCAAGAAACTTTCAATGTTCTCAGGTCATACTGCATGAAGATGAATCTAGAGAAGTGCACCTTTGGCATAGGGTCAGAAAAATTCCTAGGCTTTAGTCAATTAGAGGGGAATTGAAGTGAACCCAGACAAGATCAAGTCTATTCTAGAAATGAAGTTGCCTTCCTCAACCAAGGAGCTCCAGCCTCTTAATGGGAGCATTACAGCACTCCATAGGTTCGTTTTCAAGTCTGCAGACAAATGCTTGCCTTTCTTCAAGATTCTCCAAAAAGTTTTCGAGTGGGGACCTGAGGCTGAGGAGGCCTTTCAAAAGCTCAAAGTCTACTTGGCTATTCCCATTTTCCTTTCACATGCCACACCAGGAGAAATATTATATCTATACATTTTTGCTTCCTCGTCGACGGTAAGCTCCGTCCTCGTTAGGAACGATGATCTCGCAAAAGCCCATCTATTATGTGAGCAGTGCATACTGAGGAGCAGAAATCAGATATTTAGGGTTAGAAAAGCTTTCACTCGCCCTCATTTCAATGGCTAGGAGTCTACGACATTACTTCCAGAGTCACACTGTGGCTGTGATCACAAATCAGCCTATAAAAAGAGTCTTGGGAAAATCAGATGTATCTGGGAGACTCCTCAAGTGGGTAGTGGAACTAGGGGAGTTTGATATTCAGTACTAGCTAAGGACGACCATCAAAGCACATGCCTTGACAGATTTTATTGCTGAGGTTACACCAGCAGAGGGGGAGACTGATGAATTTTCCACACTTCAGACATCAAGCTTGGACATTCAAAGCAATCTAACACCCAGTGAAGACAACCAGGCGCCCAACAAGGATAACTAGATGCCCGACGAGGGCTCCCAGATGCCCAAACCATGCGTCCAGGCCATCCCAAGTGCCCAGACGCCCATGCTAGGCAACCAAACACCCAAGCTAAGGGCCCAAGCACCCCAACCTGCTCCCACAACGATCTCCGAGCCCTCCTTTTTGCCCCTCTGAAACCTTTATGTGGATGATTCCTCGACCAATGAAGGAGGTGGAGTAGAATTAATCCTGATCAGCCCCGAAGGCACCCCCATCAAGTATGCTATGAAGCTCCACTTCATTACCTCCAACAATAAGGCGGAATATGAAGCCCTCCTCTCTGGCCTAAGGTTAGCAGTAAAGATGGAAACTCATCACCTCAACACTTACAACGATTCCTAGCTGATAGTCAACCAAGTGAAGGGTGAGTTTGAGGCAAAATGAGCCAAAATACAAGAGTACCTGACCATAGTGAAAGCCTTGATTGCTAAGTTCCAATACTTCGAAATCTGCCATATCCCGAGGGATAACATGGCTACGAATACACTAGCCAGGCTCGCCTCATCCTCGAAAATTCCACTAGGGCCAGCATTCATTGGTCATCAGTTTGAAGCAAATAAGTTAGACGTAGAAGCCACAAACGTCAATTATGCGACTGCCGAGTCAAATTGGATAACCCTGATTAGGGTATACCTCCAGGAGGGTGTATTACCAGACGATCCCCTCAAAGCTAGAAAACTTATTATGAGAGCCTCCAAAATTACTATTTTACGGGATACCGTGTACAAGAAAGGCTACTCCCTGCCATTACTACGGGTGCCCCTTTCGCCTGAAGAAACTAACTAGGCCCTGCGAGATATCCATTAAGGGATTTGTGGGAATCACTCTGGAGGATGCTCCTTCGCCCACAAGGTGCTCAGACAAGGCTACTTCTGGCCTAGCATGATGAAGGAAGCCCAGGAATTTGCCAAGAAGTGTAACAAGTGTCAGCGCTTCGCCACTGTGCCTAAGCAACAAAGATAACAGACGCAAATGTGAAAGATTTTATCTGAAAAAACCTGGTCTGTTGCTTCGGGATACCCTACGCCATTGTCAGCGACAACGCCAAGCAATTCGACAGCAAGTTCCTGAACTCCTTCTACCCTGACCTTCAAATAAAGTAGCCTCATTCCAGCCCAGCACACACGCAAGCAAACGAACAAGCAAAAGTCATAGTGAGAACGATGCTATACAACCTAAAGATAATGCTCAAAAAGGCAAAGGGTCTCTTTGGGTTGACGAGCTCCCTAGGCGTATTATGGGCCTACCAAACCACACCAACAACTCCAACTAGAAAAACCCCTTCTCCCTCACCTTTGGAACTGAGGCGGTCATCTCTGTGGAGATCGGGGTGCATTCTCTAAGGGTCCAACACCACGACCCTATCACCGACGAGAAAGGACACAATCTCGACTTGGTAGAGGAGGCAAGGAAGATGGCTGTGGTCCGCAATGCAGATTACAAGCGCCACATGACAAAGTACTATAACTCGAGGGTGAAGCCTCATTCTTTCCAACCAAGAGACTTGGTGCTCAAAAAAGTCATCCTCGCCGCAAAGGATTCACATGAAGGAAAGTTGAGACTAAACTGGGAAGGAACCTACCTCATAACAGAAGTGGTAAGGGCAACAAGATACAGAGTTTTTACTGAGCACCTGAAGAGGTACTATCAGTGACACCTTAAGAGAGTAGAAAAATTGGGGACTTGTTTTTACTTTTTGTACTTTTTTGGGGGTTGTTACCCAATATTGCTTGACATGAGCAATGAATAAATAAAACTTTCTAAATTTATTCCAAAAGATCTTTACATTTTTGTATTCAAATTCAAAGGAGTATCAGTGGCAAAAAATCATTTTTACAAAAGTACGGCTACAAAATGATTTCATAAAAGTCCTTAGTACTCTAACTACTCTCATGGTCGTCGTCCTCCTCCTCCTCATCATAACCCTCGACATTGTCAAAGCCGACATCACTGTCATCAGGTGCCTCAGTTGGTCAGAAGCCTGAGATATCAATATTAGGGAAAACAATAAAAATCTTTCCCCAAAGCTCCTCATAACTATCAATGAAAGCATCTGTAAGGCCATTCTCCAGGTCCACCTCATCTCGAGAAGCTCTCTTCTGAGCAGCCTTCACCTCAGCAGCTCTGTGGCAGCCTCTCTAAGCATGGCCCACTCGCGGGTCTCTGTAAGCTTAGCCTCACTAAGCATGACCCTCTCACAAGCCTCCACAAGCTTAGCCTCCCTGAGCGCGTCCCTCTCACAGGTCGCCAAAAGCTCAGACTCAAGTTTAGTTAGCCTCTCACAGGCCTCCACATGCTCAACCTCGAGCTTGGCCACCCTCCCATGGGTCGCTGAAAGCTCAGTCTCAAGCCTAGTCGCCCTCTCATTGGTCGCCACAAGATAAGTATCAGAAGCCCTGCCAGTAGCTTCAAGTTCAACAATCCTCCCTTGAGTAGGAAAGGGCTCATTTTATATAACATCATGATCCTGTTTCAACTTACCGTGAGAATAGGCCCTTGAAAGTAAACACATAGATGCAGTAGAAGTCTGAAGAAAGATAAAGGTCAAAGCAATGTCAGAAGCCTAAGGAGGGACTGGAGAAAAGGAGACAACAGAACCTTACCTAACGATTCCCTCAGTGCCCAGAGCATTAATCTCACAAATATCATTGGGAAACACAAACCTCCCAAGTCCCTTTATAATTGAAGCATTGCTCAACATGGAGCCAAAAGCTGTGGCCAGTAAGGGGAACTCTGGAGCAAGAGATGCAATTGAAGGAGTCTCTGACTGAGGAGGCACCACAGGAGGGGTCGCTTGAGGAAAGCACACCTCAGGCAGCACCGTTAGAAGGAAGTATCGCCCGTTGTCGCCTCCTTAGGAGGAAGAGGGCTCCTACTAGAAAAGCGGGACCCAATCACCTTTCTACTACAAAGGAAATAAAGGGTTATCTAGATGAAAAATCCAAGAAAAGGGGAAAAAGTACAAGAGAATTAACATATATTTTTTCTTTTCAAAGAGGGTCCTGGAGATGATCTACCAACCCCACCACCGTGTTTGGACAGAAGGACTCCAAAGTCTTTTTCAGTATAGGCCCTCACGGCTTGCAACTTCAATTCTTGGTTCTTAGAAAGCACAGAAGGACAGAAAGCACTTGGTATGAATAAAGCATACCAAGTTTCTTAGGGGTACCCTATCCTTTTGGTACCAAAGCCCTATCGGCCACTACAGTCCATTCTCCGTCGAAAAATATAAAGCGAGATTTTCAACTATGACAATTGGAGCGCAATCCAGTGATCATCTTGTTTCTTGTCGTAAAACAATAACAACCCCGATTGGGAGCAGGGGTCTAGCTCAAAGTGTAAGCTCCATGAAACTCGACAAGAGAGACATCCTCCTGGTGTACCCTCTTCCACAATACTAGAAAGCATAGTAAAACTCTCTAACCATTGGGCGATAATCACCCCGGTGTGAATAAAAAATAATGGAGAATGCAACAAATAGAAGGAGACATGGGGAACTTGAGCCTAACCTCAAACATCTGCTCATAGACGGCAATGTCCCCAGAAGAGTCACAAGAGGCACCCATCTCAGCTCGACAGCACCGCACAGTCAGAGGAATATGATAAACAGAAACAATCCTCATAATATCATCGTCACCCATCATCATTAAGAGCCACTTTTGCCTCAAATTCTGATTCCTCAAGATCTCCCTAGTGATGGCTTAGGCAATTCTTCCCGTCCTCGCTCCTTCACCTCACGCGCCCAGGCAATTCACCTAGGCTATCCAGATCAGCGCCTATGGGCGCCTGCACAACTCTCCCCCCTCTGATTTGCTCGTTTAGGCTGCCTGAGTAGGTGCCCAAACCAGCCTGCTCACCCCCCATAATGCACGTCTGGCCCTTTATGGCTTGGTCACCCACCAGGCCGAGCCGCTCGCCCCTTTGCTCCACCGTATAGATAACGCGCCCAATCTGCCCCAAATCAGTGCCTTGGACACCCAAGTTGTCTCCAATCAACGAAACATGAAGGGAAGCACCATTCTGCTCCATGGGCGCGCGAGCAAAGGTGGCGACGAATGCCCTAAGCACCTCGACACCGGCGCCTACCTCCTCCTCCTCTTGACTCTTTTGATCACTACAACCTCTTGATTATCTCCTTCCCTTGCCATGGATTCCAAGCACAACTCAAGAAGCTCCTTGAAATATTTTTGGGAAATAAAGCTTTCCTTCACTCTCTCAAAGTTTCTATGGAATAGGGAAAAAGCTTATATTTATACCAAGGGTTTTTCTAAATCCTATTGAAGGAAGGAAACGACAAAAAAGCCCCAAACTACAACCTAGTGCTCTTCAAGTATCCAAAAAAGGAAAGGAATGAGGGAATTTGTATAGTCAAGGGAATCCTACAAGCAAAAGGAGTCTATTGGGAGGGAGGAGGTCGTTGATCAAGAGGATTTTTCAAAAAATTCAAATTTAACAAGGGTTGCACGCTATTTTGACCGTAACTTTTGATCCGAAACTTTAAACAAGGCTTATTATATATAAAATTGAAACTGTCAACGAATCTTACAAAACTCACTGCCTTTGGCAGTGAAAGACGCTGTAAAAAGTCAAAAAAGGCCCAGAAATAGATATTTTGGCCTCCCGAAGTTTCTTTTAATTTTTTTTTTTCAGTTGCCTACTCGGCCTAAGAGGCTATCTGCTCGCCCAAGATACTATGTGCTCACCTAGAAGTTGTTTGCTCGCCCAAAATCGTGCACCCAGCTCCTGCTCGCTATTTTGACAGCAACTCTCGCTCCGTTACTCTAAATGGGGTCCATAATATATCAAATCAAAAGCTCTCGACAAACCCTACAAAAAAGGCCTAGAAAGACAACTTAGTGCTCTTCAAGAATCCAAAAAAGGAAAGGAATGAGGGAATTTGTATAGTCAAGGGAATCCTACAAGCAAAAGGAGTCTATTGAGAAGGTCGCCGACCACAAGGAGTTTTCAAAAAATTCAAATTTAAAAAGGGTTGCACGCTATTTATAAAATTGAAACTCTCGACGAATCTTACAAAACTCACTACCTTAGGCAGTGAAAGACACTGTAAAAGGTCCAAAAAGGCTCAGAAATAGATGTTTTGGCTCTCGAAGTTTCTTTTTAAATTTTTTTTTTTCAGTTGCTTGCTCGGCCTAAGAGGCTGTCTGCTTGCCCAAAATCGTGCATCCAGCTCATGTTCGCTATTTTGACCGCAACTCTCACTCTGTTACTCTAAATGGGGTCCATAATATATATATCAAATTAAAAGCTCTCAGCGATCCCTACAAAAAAGGCCTAGAAATATAGGTTTTGGCCTCCCGAAATATTTTTCAATTATACTGGTAAGCCAAAAATTCAAACTCAAACTGAATACCTTCCTTTCCAAGTTTTGTTAGACGCAGAGTATTGGGGGCAAATGATGGGCCAAGTCCAAAGGCCTAACTCATGTTATAAGTCTGGTCCGAGTTAAAGGCCCAATTCTAAGAGATCCACCAAGTTCAGTCCAATGTGGTCAACCTCAATTCGTTCAAGAGTCTCATCCTAGCCGCGTTGGAAAGAGTCAAAACCTTACCTTATCTTTTGACCGAGTCTTATGGAGAATATTGTAACTACCTCGCTCGTTAAGAAGAGGTCGCTACCTCCGCTGAATCAGTTATTTAATTACCATTAACTCACCTCAATTCGTTATGACCGTCAGACTAACTATTTAATTACTATGTGTTATGTGGCAACTATAAAATATAAGCCCCGCCAACACTTGAGGGGCAACACACACTCATTCGGGCATAATTCTCTCCTCATCCCTCTCAAAGCTTGTAATTTTTTGCTCTCCCTACACACATAAGTTAATAAAATACCGACGACCCTTGTCATTCAAAGTGGATATGTGTTATGTTGACCAAATGCAGTAAATCTTGTCTCGCTCTCTCTCTCTATCTCTCTTTCTCTCCTTATTTTACTGCATTTTATACTACTTGGTTGACAGGTTGTGTGTAAACCAATTTGTACATACACCGAGGCAAAAGTAGCTCTTGATGACGATGGATCCAAAGTGGATGTAGGTAATGTTGGCCAAATCACTATAAATCTTGTCTCTCTCTCTCTCTTTCTCCCTCTACTTATTTTATTGTATTTTATACTGTTTACTTGGTAGGTTGTGTGCAAACCAATTTGTGCATACACTGAGGCAAAATAGCTCTTGATGATGATGGGTCCAAAGTAAGTACCCTTTCTAGTATACTCAATACTGATGATGATAGTATGAGAATTGTTTTTGCTTATCATATTCCCCCGACTGTGCTATGCCGTCGAGCTGAGATGAGTGAGCCTGCCTCTGATGACTCTTCTAGGGGCATTGTCATCTATGAGGAGATGCTTGAGGCTGGGCTCAGGTTCCCCATGTCTCATTCTATTTATCGCATTCTCCATTATTTTTCACTCACACCGGGGTATTACTGTGCTTTCTAGTATTGTTTTACCACGAGAGACAAGATGATCACTGGACTGGACTGCGCTCCAACTGTCATAGTTGAAAATCTCACTTTATATTTTTCGGCAAAGAATGCACAGCAGAGGCCGATTGGATTTTTTGGTACCAAGAGGACCCCTAAGAAACTTTGTATGCCTTACACTTACTTTGTCTTCTTTTTTTTTTTTTTTGACTCATCATTCCTCTTGCAGATCCTCCTTGTGCTTTTTAAGGACCAAGAGTAGTTGTAGGCTGTGAGAGGGCCCATACTGAAAAAGATTTTGGAGTCTTTATGTCCAAAGATGATGGTGGGAACAGTAAATCATCTCTGGGACCCTCTTTAAAAAGAAAGTATGTTAAATTACACCTCGGACAACACCTCTCCAACAGTGCCGCCCGAGGTGTGCTCCCCTCAAGCAACCCCTCCGGTGGTACCTCCAATGGTGCCTCCTCAGTCAAAAACTTCTTCAATTGCATCTTCTATTTCAGAGTTTCCCTTGCTGGCCACACCTTCACACCTTCTGCCCCCTATTCATCTATTCCTCCTGTGGGAACTTCCAAAAGGGCACCGATTCAGATAAGCTCCATGCTGGGTAACGCGCAAGTTCTAAAGGATTGACTTGGAAGGTTTGTGTTTCCCAAGGATATTTTACTGCATTTTATACTACTTGGTTGACAGGTTGTGTGTAAACCAATTTGTACATACACCGAGGCAAAAGTAGCTCTTGATGACGATGGATCCAAAGTGGATGTAGGTAATGTTGGCCAAATCACTATAAATCTTGTCTCTCTCTCTCTCTTTCTCCCTCTACTTATTTTATTGTATTTTATACTGTTTACTTGGTAGGTTGTGTGCAAACCAATTTGTGCATACACTGAGGCAAAATAGCTCTTGATGATGATGGGTCCAAAGTAAGTACCCTTTCTAGTATACTCAATACTGATGATGATAGTATGAGAATTGTTTTTGCTTATCATATTCCCCCGACTGTGCTATGCCGTCGAGCTGAGATGAGTGAGCCTGCCTTTGATGACTCTTCTAGGGGCATTGTCATCTATGAGGAGATGCTTGAGGCTGGGCTCAGGTTCCCCATGTCTCATTCTATTTATCGCATTCTCCATTATTTTTCACTCACACCGGGGTATTACTGTGCTTTCTAGTATTGTTTTACCACGAGAGACAAGATGATCACTGGACTGGACTGCGCTCCAACTGTCATAGTTGAAAATCTCACTTTATATTTTTCGGCAAAGAATGCACAGCAGAGGCCGATTGGATTTTTTGGTACCAAGAGGACCCCTAAGAAACTTTGTATGCCTTACACTTACTTTGTCTTCTTTTTTTTTTTTTGACTCATCATTCCTCTTGCAGATCCTCCTTGTGCTTTTTAAGGACCAAGAGTAGTTGTAGGCTGTGAGAGGGCCCATACTGAAAAAGATTTTGGAGTCTTTATGTCCAAAGATGATGGTGGGAACAGTAAATCATCTCTGGGACCCTCTTTAAAAAGAAAGTATGTTAAATTACACCTCAGACAACACCTCTCCAACAGTGCCGCCCGAGGTGTGCTCCCCTCAAGCAACCCCTCCGGTGGTACCTCCAATGGTGCCTCCTCAGTCAAAAACTTCTTCAATTGCATCTTCTATTTCAGAGTTTCCCTTGCTGGCCACACCTTCACACCTTCTGCCCCCTATTCATCTATTCCTCATGTGGGAACTTCCAAAAGGGCACCGATTCAGATAAGCTCCATGCTGGGTAACGCGCAAGTTCTAAAGGATTGACTTGGAAGGTTTGTGTTTCCCAAGGATATTTGCAAGATTAGTGCTCTGGGCACCAAGGGAATGGTTAGCTCTTTTTTGGAAGGCCTAGCTCAGGTAAGGGTTTGTTGTTGTCTCCCTTTCTCCAGTCCCTCCTTAGGCTTTTGAAATTCCTTTGGTCATTCTCATGGCAAGCTGAAGCAAGATCATGATGTTGTGCAAAAAGAGATTTTTGCTGCTCAGGGGAGGATTGCTGAGCTTGAAGCTACTGACAGGGCTTCTGATACTGATCTTATGGCGACTCGTAAGAGGGCGACTAGGCTTGAGACTGAGCTTTTGATGACCCATGAGAGGATGGCCAAGCTCGAGGCTGAGCTTGTGGAGGCCCGTGAGAGGGCAACTAAGCTTGAGTCTCAGCCATGTTCAAAGAGGTTACTGCAGAGGCAAAGGTGAAGGCTGCTCAGGAGAGAGCTGCTCGGCCTTGTAGATGTTTTCATTGACAGTTGTAAAAGTGGTTTTTGCCACTGATGATGCTCCTTTGAAGTTGAATACAAAAATGCAAAGATCTTTTTTGGAATAAATTTAGAAAGTTTTATTTATTCACTGCTCATGTCAAGCAATATTGGGTAACAACCCCCCAAAAAGTACAAAAAGTAAAACCAAGTCCCCAATTTTTTTACTCTCTTAAGATGTCACTGATAGTATCTCTTCAGGTGCTCAGCATTCCATGGATGGGGCAAAACCTTCCCCTCAAAACTCTGTATCTTGTAGGTGTCATGCGGTGCTTGTACGCCGTATTACGGACCACAACCATCTCCTTTGCCTCCTCTACCAAGTCG